TACGACAGCGACGGCGACGGCGAAGGCGGAGCATCCTCCGCCGCAGCCGCAGAACCATAGGGAGATGGTGCTTCACACCTCGGGGAGTCTGAGCTTCAGCAGCCAGATGTCGAGGGAGGACGAGGAGATGGCTCGTTCTGCTCTCTCTGCGTTTAGGGCAAAAGAGGATGAGATCGAGAAGAAGAAGATGGAGGTTCGTGAGAGGGTCCAGGCCCAGTTGGGCCGTGTCGAGGAAGAGACCCGTCGTCTCGCTTTAATCCGTGAGGTCCGTGTTAAAATTTCTCAACTTTGTTTTTTTTTTTCGGAAAAAATTGTGTTTTTGCGTCAAAGTTCTGGAATTTCGTACTGGGTTTGGATGATTTAGGGTTCCAAGACAAAGAATTTTGAAACCAAACACAAGTACACATCATATAAGCTCTCTGCGTATGGACTTACGTGGAGATTCAAAGAGAAAAAAACTGTGATTTTCTATTTCTTTTGCAGAATTAGAGTGAAGGATACAAACTTTTGCCATTGAAATTTTTTGGGTTTGGAAAAATTTTCATGAAATAAGCAAAACAGACAACCATTTTCCTCCTCCTAAGCGTTTTCTCTAGAAAATCCATGGATCTGAGCATATTACATGAAACAAAATCACCAAGGCCCATGTTAAATTGTTGAATTCCCTGTTCTGCAAGCGATGATGCCCAAATGGGTTTAGAAGTTTCTTCTTGCTAGGGTTTATATGAGAAATCGTTGTGTTTTTCCAGGAGCTTGAATCTCTAGCAGATCCCATGAGAAAGGAAGTTTCTATGGTCCGCAAGAAGATCGATACTGTGAACAAAGAGCTCAAACCATTAGGCGCAACTGTTCAAAAGAAGGTAAATAAAACATCTACTTTACATCATTTTCATGCCATTTAAATCTGGTTTAGTGTATGGTGAATGTGAAAATTTTGCCGAAGATGGTTTCAGTTCTGTTTTCTGAAATCCACTCCAAGGGCTACAATATGAAATATATATAACTTTGCTTTAGCATTACCCCAAGTTTTGGCAATCTTCTGAATTGAAACAGGAGAGGGAATACAAAGAATCACTCGATTCATTCAACGAGAAAAATCGAGAGAAAGTTCAGCTGATCACCAAACTAATGGAGGTTAGTTTCGAACTCTGGTTTCGTAATCTGTATAATTTCAAACTGGAAAACGAAAAATCGGGTTGAAGCTTTCGCTAATTATACGCAAAACCTTTGTGTTTTTGTGTAAATTTTTCCCCTGGGGAGATGGAGCAGTTGGTGGGAGAAAGCGAGAAGCTGAGGTTGAAGAAACTGGAGGAACTCAGCAAGAGCATAGAGACAGTGTGAAAGACAAGAACTAATCTGGTTTAGGGTTTTGTTTGTGTGATGTATTTATTTGTGGGTGTTTTTGTTATTTTTTCTTATTTTGGGCATTTGGTTTGTAAAATTTCTGGTTTGTATTTTGATTAACCAATTAGGGTAATTTGGGAAAATTTGTTAGGGTGTTGAAGCGTAAGGTTTGTGTAAAACACACGTTTTTCTTTCTTCTCTATTTTAATTTGTATTTGTTGCTTCCAAATTGTTTTTTTATTTGATTTTTGGGCTTTTTTGCAACTAATTTCAATTTTGGCTTTATTTTAAATTTTATTTTTTTTTTAGCTTTTGGCAAAGTTGGGACTACGCGTGCGCTTTTGGTTGGGAAATGTTTGTATCTTTTTCTTATGGGTGTCGGAATTTTGCAGAATCTTTCATATCAAGTCCATTTACTTCGAATCGACGCATCAGAGTCCGTGTTTGAACGTTTTCAAAACGTAAAGAAAAACCAAATTAAAAAATAAATAAATTCGCCTGTAATGATCGAATTTAAAATATCAAATGTTGAAAAAAGGGTTTATTGTTTATTCTTTGATCGGTGAATCGAACCAAAAACCAAATTTTATCTAATTTTGATAAGATAAAATAGGATTAGTTTTTAAATGGAAATGCTTATAAAAGTTTATTAGATCGGATTTGATGAAATTTCCTAGACAAAATCAAATGGAATTGGAATTGTTTTTTCTAGTTTTATAAATTCGAATGAAAAACATAAATTCTTGTCTGAACAAATCAAACCAAAACTATACCAAACCGATGAGATATACAACAATACATGAAATCCAAGATCGAAATTCTCTAATTAGACAATGAAAACAACCAAAAACCCTAATCAATTTATGATATAAACCTAAGCCCAAATTCGCAATGAAACATTCTAACCCCTACCAACTACAGATAGAAATCTAGATTCTAGACCTAAACCTCTACTAAGAACTTGATAAGAAATATCTGTATCGCAAAAATGTCGATAATATTTAATGAGTCAGGTGAATATCACAGATATAAATTCATAAGTTCCAAAATAGATTCTCAAATAAACAAGAGAATAAATCTCATAATAACAAAGTTGTTTTTCATTTCCAAAGTTTATCTCATACGTACGATCATATACTGATACACTTTAAAGGTGTTTTGTAGGTATATTTAAAAAAAAAACAAACTCATTAATATCTAGCATGGAAAATAAAAACGTAATTAATCAAAATGTGATCTTTTAGTCAATTTATGCTGTCACGATAAGAAATCCGATAATTTTTAAAAAATAGGGTTATCAAATAATCGAGAGAATAAATCTCCTCGAAACAAAGCTGTTTCATTTCAAAAGTACGTATCACCATGTATGTATGGTCCGACCTATTAACTGTATGCAATAAGTTTTGTTTTGGTCGTCAAATGTATGGATGCATGTACGATTTACACGGTGTGTAGGCCCATACATTGAACTTTGGGCCCAATAAGTACGTGTGACACATGGGCTAGGCCCATTTGAACCGTTCTAATTAATAAATTAATTAGAATTGTTTTCTATATAAATACATCGTCAAAATAATTTTTTCATTATATTAACATCCAAAAAATGATAAAATTTCTATTAAAAATTTTCCATAACCTTATCAAAATATTAATATTTTCAAAATTATATATCTATATTATTATTTCGATATAGAAATCTATAAACATTTTTAAAAATATATAATTATATTAAAATTTTGTGCAAAAAAAATTACAACATTTTTCTTTGCATAATTTTTTAAAAAACATTTATAATTTCTTTTCTTTTTTAAATATTTATTCGCATGATTATAGAAATAATTATCCATTTACAAAAAATATATATAATTATCCATCTCAGACACGAGAGGCAGAGAGAGTCCGCAACGGAATGAGGAGAACACGTGGACAAATAGGTTAGAAAGACACGTGTTTGGGCTTTACCCAAACGACATCGTTATGGCTGCGACCCGATTCGATTTCACCCTAAATGATCTGAAAACTTTTCCATAGAAAAATTAAAATAAATTTATTTCCGTGGATATGGAATCTTTTATTTGTATATAAATACTAACTTCCCTTTTTTTAAAAAATAAAATTGTATTTTTCACCTAATAACATCAATCTTATATTGTATTTTTCTATGGAATATATATAGAAACATCTTAATTATATAATTACCAAAAAAAACATCTTAATTATATGAATACATGAGGTCATATGGAATATGATTTTTTTTTTTTCTCTTTTGGACTGGACCATCGACGTGAATTTTGCGACAACGTTAGTCCGAGAAGGACTGACACCGATCCTGGCTTATTTCAAAAATAAAATATAAAGAAAGTCGATACAAAATGTGAAAAAAAAGATTTTTTTAAATTATTTAATTTATAAACTTATACTACCAATATTTATACATTATTTTTTTATGTCAACTCAATAATTATGCATTCGTGAGGTAAAAAAACAACAAAAAAGACAAAAGGTCAGTGTTAAAATTGTAGAGTGGCTCTTAGGATTCTTTACAATTCCCATCACCTTATGGTTTGTCTGCCTCTAATTTAATGAAATATTGTCTGCTTCGTCAAATGGCATATCTTCTCTAATTTTATATATTTTATACTATTTTATGCCAAATAAATTTATCTTTGATAATACTGAATGGTTATTGAAAATATTTTACGTAATTGTTTTTATATATATGGTTTAGAATTTAGATCATAGATTTATTGATTTCTACATTGAAAATTTAGAGATAATTTTTGTAATAGAAATAACATCGCCATATATTTATATACCTTTTTGTAGTTTTATATGAATGACCTAGATCATTTTATATCTTTAGTCATACTATATAATTGTAGGTTATAGTATTTTTATTTTTACTGACCGAATATATTGTAGCGCCAGAGAATATATTTTAAACTAGGAATAAATATCAGTTAGAGATTAACATTTAGATACTTCAACACTATAACACATGAACGTTGTACATAAAATTGGTTTTAAAAAAAGTCTGGCTTCGTTGTCTTGTGATAACAACTTCGGATAATTTGGGTAGAATTCCGTTACCATCAAATAATCTTAAGTTAAAAATTAAAATCAATGGTTAGCAGTAGTTGTGAGATATATATATATATATATATATATAATCCAGCTTGATATATTGTCTTCAGCTTAAGTCTTGGGATTCATCAATATCTGATCCTCCAATATCTTCTACATCCCCCCTCAAGTTTGGCTTGTGGATGTCAACAAGACCAAGTTTGGATAGTAAAGCGTCGTGATTCTTAACATTCGGAGGTTTAGTGAGTAAATCCGCAAGTTGGTCCTCACTTCTCGTGTAAGGTGTAGAAATGATGCCTTGAGTAACCTTCTCCCGCACAAAGTGACAATCAATCTCTATGTGCTTTGTCCGTTCGTGAAATACGGGATTAGCGGCAATGTGTATAGCAGCTTGATTGTCACAATGAAGCGGGATAGGTGTGGTTATTGGGAGCCCAATATCACCGAGTAAGGCCTTAAGCCACACGAGCTCACTGGTGGCGGTCGCCATCGAACGATACTCAGCCTCTGCACTCGATCTAGCAACCACATTTTGTTTCTTGCTTTTCCACGTAGCTAGGTTACCCCCGATAAACATACAGTATCCCGAAGTTGATTTTCGGTCTTGTTGGTCGCCCGCCCAGTCAGCATCACAGTAGCCAATGATGTCCGTTCGGTTGTTGCGGTTCATCCAGATGCCTTTTCCGGGAGATCCTTTGAGGTACTTGAGAATACGTTCCACCATTATCCAATGGCGTTGGCATGGAGAATGCATGAATTGACTGACCTGTCCAACAGCAAACGACAAGTCAGGTCTCGTAATTGTTAAGTATATAAGCTTACCAACAAGTCGTCGATAACGTTCTGGATCTTCAAATGCTCCCCCCTCTGGAAGATACTTGTAGCCTGCTTCAATTGGAGTCTTCACCGGCTTTGCCCCTAATTTGCCTGCACTTTTCAACAAATCAAGTGTGTACTTCCTTTGAGATAGAAATAATCCCTCTGGAGTTCAGGAAGCTTCTATTCCAAGAAAGTACCTTAGCTCTCCCAAATCTTTAATATCAAAAGCGCGATGTAAAAATTGTTTGGTTTCTTTAATACCTGTAGAATCATTACCCGTGATAATGATGTCGTCGACATATACTAAGACTACAACAATACCTCTTTGGGAATGTGAAGTGAAGAGAGAATGGTCGCTTTCACTCCTTTTGAACTTATGATGTGATAAGGAATCATGAAGCTTTGCATACCATTGGCGAGGGGATTGTTTGAGTCCATATATCGATTTCTTAAGTTTGCACACCTTGTTTGCTTGTGATGGATCAAGAAGACCAGGAGGTAAGCGCATATAAATTTCTTCCTCTAGATCAATTTGGAGGAAAGCATTTTTGACATCCATCTGCCAAAGCTCCCAAGAGAGATTAGTAGCGATTGACAGAATTACTCTTACCGTGGGTAGTTTCGCAACGGGTGCAAATGTATCACTGTAGTCTTCCCCATAGGTTTGTGTGTAGCCTTTCGCTACTAGCCGGGCTTTATGTCTTTCAATATCACCATTACTTAAGTATTTGATCTTGTAAATCCAACGGCATCCGACAGGTTTCTTGTCCTTGGGCAAAGGGACAATATCCCACGTGTCATTGTTTTTATCGATCCAGAGAGTCCGGGGAAGGTGTGCAAGCTTCAGAGGTCCATTTATGGACTGAAGCAGGCTTCAAGGAGCTGGAATCTTCGATTTGATGAGACAATCAAATAGTTTGGTTACTCTCAAAATGAGGATGAGCTATGTGTTTACAAGAAGGCCAGTGGGAGCACAGTTGTTTTTCTGGTACTATACGTGATTATATTCCTACCTTACAAGACGTTAAGTCTTGGCTAGGAACACAGTTCTCTATGAAGGACTTAGGGGAAGCTGCCTATGACAAAGTATGGACTTTGGTCGATGCATCCGAAGGGGTAAAACCCATCGGATGTAAGTGGGTTTTCAAGAAGAAAACCGACATGGATGGCAACGTGCATACCTATAAGGCACGATTGGTGGCGAAAGGGTTTCGGAAAATTCATGGTATGGACTATGATGAAACCTTCTCGCCCGTCGTGATGCTTAAATCCATCAGGATTCGTTCCAAACAGGCCACCATAGCAGATTCTACTACAGAGGCTGAGGACATTGCCGCATCAGATGCAGCGAAGGAAGCTATTTGGATCAGGAAGTTTTTGGGTGACCTGGGCGTCGTTCCTAGCGTTGTGAACCCCATTGCATTATATTGGTTATTAACAGTAAATAAAGTGGTTCATCTAACAATTTTGGAGTAAAGTTGAGTCTTGAATTTAAAATAGGTTATATCAAATATAAGTGTTTTTATATTTATAAAAAAAATTCAAACTATTATTTTTAATAAAAAAATTTCACTATATATTAATATAAAGAAAAATCCTAAAAAAACATTCAACCTTTTAATTTTGATAAAAAAATATCTGAACATTTTAAAAAATATATTAAATTTTTTAAATTGTCCCAAATAATATCTAAACTATACAACAATTGTCAAATTAAACAATCGATTTGACGTGATATATAGAATTGTAGATTTTTACGTCAGGTTTGCATTTTCATTCACCACATTAGAATTTTCGTACACCACGTCAGTTTGATTTGTTTAATTTAATATTTATCAAATAGTTTTGATATTATTTTAGATAATTTAAAAAATTCAGTATTTTTTTACTAAAAAAAAAGTTTTTGTTTCAATTATAATTTTTTAAATCGAATATATAATATCATATCCACTTACAATCGAATCAAAATTAGAAATAACCG